AAAAAAAAAAAAAAAAAGGAAAAAAAATCTGGCCCTTCACCACAGATAATTTGAGAAGCACGGTCATAAACTACTATATAAGTATAAACGCCAAATTCAGGCAGCATACAAGGCCTTTCAAAATATGGTTCCAACAACCACTTCAAACCCATCTCTCCACCTGCCCCTCTAGGGTGAACACATTTTCATTCTCATTCTCACTTCTTCTCTCTCTCCCTCTCTCTCCCTTTCTCTCTCTCTCACAGGCACACACACATAGCACTTGAAATGTGGCTAGTCTAAATTGAGATGTTTTGTACATGTAAAATGTACACCTGATTTGATCTTCAAAATCAATTACTTCATACTTAAGTATTAAAAAAATAAATATTTCAGATATATTGGATTAAATAAAATACATTTTATTAATCTCACCTATTTCTTTTTACTTTTTAATATAGCTATTAGAAATTTTTAACTTACATAATATTTATATTTATATTGGACAGTAACGTTCTAGCTGCACTGAACTGGACCCTGTTCTTCAAACACCCAGGCCCCTTTATAACTCTGGGTCTCTACATATGTTCATTCCCTTTTATTGCAAGGTCCTTCTCTTCACTCTGGCAAACGTCTATAATGAGAATGCATTAAAAATCACCTCTTCTGTGAAGCCGCACCAAACAATACCCCAGAGGTACGTGCACCATTTTCTGTGTTTCTACCATAATTAACTATATTATCAACAAACATATTTGTTTATAAATCTGTCTCTCCTGCTCTCAAAGTCAAATAGGGTACATTATTCATCATTGTACCCATATATAGGCGCTCTATACCTTTTTAAGAAGGAGTGAATAAGCATTTAATCTCTCTAGGTCTCACCTCCGTAGAGTATAAGAGTACTTATCTTGCCTCCTTCACAAGGAAGCTGTAGGAATTAAAAACTTGCGATCATATTTAAAATATTTTGAAAAATTATAAAAACTACACATTGCTGCTGCTTTCTTTTTTATTATAACTACAGTTGACCCTTGAGCGACACAGGTTTGAACTTCCCCGGTCCACTTCTACATAGGTTTTTTTCCCATAAATACTACAGTACTACAAGATCCGAGATTGGCTGAATCCGTGGATGCAGAACCGGATGTGCAGCGCTGACTATGGGACTTCAGCATCCACAGAGGATCCTGGAACCAATACCCCTCCTTGTTCAAGGGTCAATGCATAAGTTTTTCGTTTCTACAGTCACTATACTGATGCTTGTTTTAAAACCTAAATTTTATTAAGCAATCAAAATATTTCACCAGACTGCAATTTATTCTTGAAAGTACATTTTTCCAATATATTTGGAAAAATGTTTTGGGGGCAAAAAAAGAAAAAAAGGTTAATAAGCCATCTATTAATTGACACTAAACACAAGTATCTACTTCTCATTAAAAGTTCTCTAAGCCTTCTGCAAACATTAATTAACGATTTCATAATACATTTCTAGTGATGGATTAGAATCATATTATGACAACACTGTAGAGATACAGGAGACCTTAGGGATCCCTAGCCCATATCCTTGCTTCGTAGAAAGTTAATCAAGGCCTGCGTTGTGATTCCCAGGCAGCAGACAAACCAGCAACTACAATTAACCAGGTAAGTGGACCAGCTAGCACATACTTTCTAAAGGATTAAGAATAGTTTTCTTCTAGGAAACTATATGCATTTACATATAATAGAAATTCAATGAAGGATACCCAAATGCAGTCTGAGAAGCGAATACCTATAATAAAATATATGTACACAGAGTAGCATCAGAACAAAGAGAAGAACAAAGGGGATCATGAAAAGCTATAGAGAAGACATAACATCTCAGGACAGATTCAAGAAATGGCTCTGCAGGCAGAAAAGAGTGAATGGTATCCCTCAGAGCGCCACTAGAACATCATCTGTATGTCACATCCTGGTTAAAAGATATGTTCAGAAAATAACAGTGCCTGAGTCTATCATCTTTACATCTTTTTGCGTATATGTCAATTGAATTAACAGAAAACACATCATTTTGATAATAATATTTAATGCTTCTTAACATGGTCAGTTAAATTAATTTTGACACTAAAAAATGATATAATTACTTTAAAACAGAATTCGTATCTGTGTGTGTTGTTCTGAGTATCTTAACTACACTGTTTCTTCAAATCCCACAAATGCAATAAGTGCTTATTTTTAAAAGTAGGTTAATTCAAAAGGTGATGGTTTGTTACCTTTCAATGGATCAGTTTTCCCTGAGGATAAAGTTTACTAAGATCAAAGGCACAAAACAATGCATTACATGAGACATCACCCAGAACACCTGACACAAGTAAACACTAAATACATGTTAGTTGACTCTACACCTAGTTTTCTCTGGAATATAATCTCAAAATTACCTAGGTAATTCTTGGCTAGAATGCATAATTATATATCTCTCCAATGGAGCACTACAAGAATCTTTTTTTATTATTATTACTTTTAGAAAGGTACATTAGTCCAACTAAGATGTGTTTTCAGTAATAAATAGTAGAAAATAATATTTACAACTAACAGTCTATATTTGAGGAGGTAATAAAAATGGAACAAGATATTGCTATACCAAATTCCACTCGAGAAAAAAACCGAGATAATATGTAATTTTAAAACACAGGGACTATACATAATTTGTACAAATCTGATACATAATTTGTACATTCCTAGCAAGAAATAGAGGATTATAATAAAAATTAAAATATACAGACAGAATAAGATTAAATAAAAGCCAATGATGAAGGACAACTTGAAGAAATTCTCTCCTAATTCACAGATTTAGGATCACCATACAACAAGAAATTCATTCTAGAACTGGAGTCAATCCAAGTGAGAGGATGATCAAAGACACCAGTATATTTGCATGAAAGGACTAAAACACTAGCCCTCCCCAGTGTGAAAAGACAGGCCAAAAGTAGAACTATTTTGTTGTATAAAATCAAGAAGGGTTTGGAAAACATGAAGACAGATTTACTCGCCATACCTTTTCATACTTGTACCAGGGAACAGCCCTAGTGGCTCAGAGCTAATTTTAGGAAAATCAAAATGTACAGTTTTACACAGTAAATGATAAACATGTAAACAGTTTCCCTAAGAAAAAAAAGAGGATTTGGATAAAATCATGAATGATACAGTCATTGGAGCTGAACCCTTTTAAATCTACCACACAACATTGGCACCACACTGACCTAAGTATAGTTTCCTATGGGATCACCAGGAGGGTTTGCTGATCTGAAAGACTGTTAGTCTGCCCTAGCTCAGAGATAGAAAATGTCCCTATACAGTCATTTCAGTCAAATAAAATTAAGCAAGCTATAGTATTTTTCTACAGTCTGCAAAGGGAGCAAACAATTCTATGGTGATCAACAAAGACAAATAGAGTTACTGATCTCAAACATTTCCCCTTTATAACTGCAAATGGTGCTTTG